GGGTCGAGGGTCAGGAAGCCGTTCAGCTGCTCTGCACCTGAGCTCCAGTCGTCCTCTTCAATCTCCTCCGAACCTCCTTAACCCTGTATTGCCAAATGTATCATATTTGATTAAAACGGTTTCTGAAATGTTTTGCGTCTGACACCTTTTTCATAATTTAATGGTAAAAACTTTGCTCAAAATCCTATTGTACACAATCAGATACACCTGATAACAGGGGGCAGAAGACTACACAAAACATAATCCTGACTTATCGCATAGTAATAAATTATTAATATTAAAAATGTATTTCTGTTTTTTTCTTTGTACATATTTTGTTAAAAAGCCAAAGAAAGACTTCAAACCAAAAAGAAGTAATTTTCTGTTTTGTTTTATTCTTGGATCAGGCTTTAAAGGGTTAAGAAGCAAAGGGACGGAGCAGGAACGATCGGGCTGAAGATCAAGAGACAGAAATCTCCATAAGAAGTCCTTTATGACCATCTGCCTTCGTCTTTCATCGGACGTTAGCAGCATGGAAACAGCAAGTAGCCCCCCCCCCACTTCTAAAACATGTAGCTTTGAGGGGGGGCAAGCTTGATTAATTGTCCAAATCAAGGATTTCTGATAACTTTGGTCCTTCAGGGGTTGGAAATCCTGCAGGTTTTAGAAGTTTCCGGCATCAACACATCTGATTCTGAGCAAAAAGATTTCTTTAAAATCAGTTTAATGTGTACTGAGTGTGCTGAGGCATGAAAAACTTTGAGTTTTGAATTTAAACTTTAAATTTAAATGAAAACTTGAGACACCGCCGCTCTCAATAAATAACAATGAGCATGAAAAAGAGAGAAATTACACAGAAAAACCGAAAAAAATACAAAAGATATACTACCTAAAATTAAAAAAATGGAAAGTTCAGGAGATACAGGAAGAGGAAGCAGCTGAGAGCAGAGTTCATGACCAGAACCAGAAAAAAAAACAGAAAAAAAACAAAGATCTCAGGCAGGTGACCAGAAACCTGAAACAGGAATCCAACTAACAACAGAAAAACAGGAAGTAAACCAGCAAAAAAATGAGAAGAACTGGAGAATTACTGGAGAATTTTACACATAAGCTGCTCTGAAAATAATAAAAACCGAGTTTTCTTCCATCAGAAAACAACAGCCGACATCTTTGGGCTGAGATTTATGGAGGTCGTTTGCGATGACTCAGCAAATTATATCATCACCAGCCAGCTCGCCTCTTAATCTAACATTCATGAGATGCTGATGAGCGGAGAAATGTCAAGAAGCTTTCTGTGATTTAAGATTAAATGAGGTGGCGGCGGCCAGCTGCCGATCGAGAAACATCTGCAGAAAAACGTGATTCTGAGAAACCGGAACGACTTTTAAAGCTAACAAATCCAACAAATCAGACCTGAAGGAGTTAATGAGTCAATGAGGAGCTGCTGCTTGTTTGTTAAGAAGCGTTTGAACCAAGCGGCATCCTGCTGCAGCCTGTAGGAAGCCAAGGATGGATATCCAACTCCTCCCACGTCCAAGTCGGCCATTTTGATTAGGTCATGTGACTAGCAGCTTTGTGAGGTGGAAACGAAACTTTACTGTCTATACGAAATCAGAAGAAAAACAATGTCCTAAACCTAACCCTAATCCTGACCCTAAACCTGACCCTGAACCTAACCCTAAACCTAACCGTACCCCTAAACCTAACCCTGACCCTAATCCTAACCCTAACCATAACCCTAAACCTAACCATTACCATAAACCTAACTTTAACCCTAACCCTATCCCCCACCCCAAACCTAAACCTTACCTTAACCCTAACCCTAAACCTAAACCTCCAGCCGTCATAATTGTGAGAAATAAGTATTTTTTGGTTAAACTTGTTTGGACTTATTGTACAAACCTATTTAACATCCACTATTTTAACATAATATTATGGATAGAGTGTAATTCAGTGTTTGCAAGATTAATTTCTCTCTATTTTTAAATTAATATCTATATTGCCATGAAGCAATTACGATTCTCTTGCCTGGGATCTTCCCATTGGTGACCTAATCCTGCAGTCTGCAGCCAGACGGACTTGATTAATGTTGTTATTAATGTTATTATTAGCCGTTAGCCGTAGCTAGCAATTCAAGGCTAACGTCACGTTAATGATCATAAACAACGTAAATAAATAAATCAGAGAGATGAGGCATGGGGGGGGTATCGATACTTTTGAAAATGAGTATCGTATCCGGATACGACATTTTAGTATCGATACTTTTTTGAGTATCGATACTTTTGACAACCCTTACT